TTTTTTATAATTACATCAACAATAAATGTTAATTCATGGAATCTTAAAAAAATACCTAAAACAGCCTGGAGGTAATATAGAATAGTAATTAAGATAATGCATTCTCGAAACAGAATCTCTCAGTTCCATTTTCGTATCTGCACTTATTAGCTAAGTGACCTTGGGCAAGTAATGTAACTTTTCCATGCTTTGTTTTTCCTCATTTCCTCACTGGGTATAATAGAACCCCCCTCACAGGGTTATATTTTGTACCTAGTAGGTAGTAGAAAATGTTACTATTATTTTAAACTCATATTTAATATTATAATGTTGAAATCTCTGTGTGCCTTTAAATATAATCCAAGCCCTTTACTATCGTCCACCTCCCCATTGCCCAGCTTTACCTATTTGTCTTATTCTTGCTTATCCAGCTCCAGGCATGTAACTCAAGCTCAAGTCTCTTTTAAGCCTTTGTACTGTTGATGTATCTGCCTAGAATCCTATACCCCCAAATCTGAATGTGGTTGCCCCTTCTTATAATTCAGATATCAATCCAAGTGACACTTTCTCTGAGATGGATTGTAGCAAACTAGCTACAATAGCCCCATCTCCTGTATTATCTCACTGCCTTGTTATAAATTAATTCTAAATGCAGTTCTCTTATCTTTTGTTCATATCTTTATTTTCTGTCTTGTCCTTCTAAAAAAGTTAGCTATATATGTGGGCAGGAATTTTGTCTTATTCACTGTTTTCATTATCCCCAGAGCATAAAACATTCAAATGGTAAAAGATAAACTTTAAACCTATGACCAATAAATAATTTCAACAAGTTAGTTGTGGTAGAGTAGTAAAAGGGAAGATAAGACAGATGAGAGAGAGAGAGAGAGAGAGAGAGAGAGAGAGAGAGAGAGAGAGAAAGATACCACATTTAGAAATGCATTCTTGAAATGTGCACTGAGGGGCTGAGGGAGTCTGGTCAGAGTATTCTATCAGGATTTGCTAATGTCTATATTATATAATATATATATAATATAAAGTCTCTGGCCTTCTGTGACACCATTAATCATGGGGGCATCTATTAATACAATATCTTTGAACTTATTAATTATTTGAATACCTGTTATAGCTAGACATTGTCAATATCTCCTCTTCTTCCTCACTAAAAAATAAATGAACAAACAAATACATAAAAATTAAAAAAAAAATTTGTTCCCACCAGTAATAGAATCATATCAGGTGTATATCATCATGGTCTAATATTAAACCAATTATTTAGTCTGCCAAATACTTCATCTTCCAGTGCACCTTGCTGGGAAACTTAGCCATAACCATGTGGCCCAGTTTTCAATAAAGAGAGATAAGAGAATGTCTGACAGAAGATTCTGCATTCCTAATAGAAGGAACGCATGTAATGGGCACTTCCTGTTCCCTCTTTCTTCTTGCCTTAAATATGCTCAGAGTTAAAGTATCCATCTTGTGGCCTTGTCATAAAAAATATGAGGACAAAAAGTGAACACTCTAGGAATGCCACAGCAGAAAGATACGGGAAGGACCCTAGGTAAGTGAATCAAGAACTACCTACCTTCTCTCTCTTCCTTTCTCTTATAGGAGGAAAATAAGCTCTGGTTGTTTAAGCCATGGATAGGTTTTTCATTACTTGAAGCCAAAAGTAGCATCTCAGCCACTGTTTCCATTAGTCCATTTGCTATTCTTCATGATTACTTAACAACTGGACTATATAAGACAGTTAAAATAAAATGCACCTTAAAGGACTGTTTTAAAATATTTCTCCATTTTTATCTCAGCCAAATGAAATTCTGTCTATCTAAAACTGAAGACAACAGCAATCATTATCAAGTCCACAAAATAGATAATAGATAGTTAGAAAGTGAATGATATTAGGTGAGTGGCATTAGATAAGGGTGATCATAAAAAGCTTATTTGTGCTAAGACTAGGTAAGTGCGATTAATCTGAATTGTATTATTTGCCTTAAAAAGTACTAATTGTGTTCTTTCTAATCTCTGTGCCTTTCTTCATCCAATTCTCTTTGCCTGGAATACTCCCCACCATTTATGTCTGTGACCTACCAATATTGTCTTTCTTACTACCTAATTCATGAGTCCTTACCTGATCTGCTCTAGCCAATGTCCTCTCTCCTATCTCTAATTCTCTTAATGTGAATACTGGGAACTCTTCTACATCACACAGCGTTCTCAGTTAGATGTCTCAGAAACAAAGCTGGAATAATTGTAAGGGTAACATATCACAGGATGGCAGGGGTGGAGTTAGACTTAGGAATAACTGAATGCAGAAATTCAGACATGAAAATATGATCTTTACCATTTTTCCCCATATTTTAACACCTTAGAAATTTTCTCATGTTAGAATATTACTTACTGCTTCTAAAAATTTTATGACTATTTAAAATATGTGGCCTAACAATCTTCTATAACACAAAGGCATTTTATAAACTCAATATTAAGATACCATGTTAATTTACCAAGAATATGTAAAAACATGTAATTGAATTAAATCTGACTAAAGTCATTATGAGGGGAAATGTCTTCCTGAAGAACTTTGCACAGTATGTTTGTGAAAAAGTATCACAATACAGTGTGATAACTGTTATATTAGTTGTAGACATATATGGTACGAAGGTAGACTAACTCTGACTGAAGGAGTCAGAGTAAGCATCAGTGGGAAAACTACCTGAGAAGGGTCTTAAAGCTCTCTAGTTCAGCTGATGCCTCGGGTGGGTGGGGCATACCCAAAAGAGAAAGCAGCCTGGGCACTGGTGCTGTGGCTGGAAACCAAACCATGTGGAGGATAAGAACAAGCTGCTTCCAAAGCTAAGAAATATGAGGTTGCCTATTAAAATCATTGTAGATATGCAGAAAGGTTGCCACTGTAAAAAATCAGAAGTAACACTTAGGAACAAACACAATAAATAAGAGATGTGTCACTACCCTCAGGACTCTGCCCAGCAGAGAGGCCCAGAACACAGTTGTTGGTCTGGAAACTCGTAGGAGCATTTACTTACCTGGTGGTATCTAGAGACACCTTAGAAGTAGGCTACGGATATTTTAATTCCGGGTCTGACTGACACATTTTAGCTTCAGTTCTGAGACTGAAAAATATTTATAGATATACATCTGCTCTTTTTTAAAAATAACTGCTTTAATACCCCGTTCTCAAATTTATAGCTTCCCATCTTCATGAATACATGCATTCTATAATGAACAACTAGAGCATTAAAAAAAGGTGACTTCAAGTATTTGCTTATTAAGGTTTCTCTTTTGTTGACATCTGATAGTGCACACCAGTGACAATAATTCGATAATTTTCCTCCTTCCAGACACCTGAGCACCCTATACAATTTCAAATCTATGTATGTCCTACAATGCCCAGAATCTTTGAATCAATAATCTCAAGCTGCATAAAATTAAATATCAGAAAAGAAAATCTAGATTTCCGCTATGAAACCCATTATCATTTTGGACAAGAAATGCAAATTGATGCAGAAGAAAGAAAGACCATTATATAAACATTGAGCCATGACTTGAAAAATGTCAGCTAGCCCTGTTAGAAAACAGAGAAAGGAGGAAAGGAAAGCAGATTTAAAAAGATTTGCCCTTCTGAGCAGATCACATCAATTATATTTGAGCAATAATCCTTAAAGCCATTACTTTTAGTCCAACATACAGTAATATCTATGACGCAACTCATTTGGATTTTCATTTGTCTTTGGAAGGACTTCATAAGAAATCACATTGTACACAACCGTTCTGGAAATTTAAAAATAGGTGTTAAACATTCATTTTGTTGATTTATTTTTCCTTAAAGTTAATGATGTAACAGTTCAAGCACAGTTAGAAAAAACCTTGAAATAAATGGAGAGCAAGAGTAATCTGTCAGTATTACACACTAGGGTATTTTAATATAATGAGTCATTATATTCTCTTGTCTCCTACTTCTCATATCGTTAAGAAAGAATATTTTTACAAATGATAATTTGATTCAAATTTCTTTTAGGATCCCATGTGAATATCTTTAATGCTGTAACCTTTTTAATTTCTCATTTCTGTAATACTTTCCATTCATCTGATACCCTGAAAAAAGTTAAAGGGGTCATTAGGTTTTGTCAAAAATTCAAATAGGAAAGATTTCTGAATACTGCTACTTAATTTATTTTGCCATATTAAATGAGTATTCTAAACTTCCAAGAACTGATTTGATTTTAAATTTTATTGATTAAACACACAGCCCACAACTACCTCAATTTTACTTTTGCTTTACTTTCTCGGTACAGTGTCTTAACACACAGTAGAAACTAAGTAAGTATATAATTTAAATATAATTAATTGTTCATTGTTGTAATTTATCTGTTTCTTATATTATCGCACTGGTAAAAATAAATTCATTTAATTTGTGTAAAATTGATGTAACTAATATACCTATGGTTCTGTCTTTGAATTTCTGTCAGAATAGCTGACAAGTATAACAAAATAGGTTTGTATAAACTTATTTTTAATAAGGCAATACAACACAAAAGTAAACACAAAATAAAACAGCTACTCTTTATTGTAAAATCACCTGAAACCATCCATTAATTATCAATGACTGACCAACTGTAACTATTACACATGTATTGTGTGTATGTTGCGATTATAGGCAGGAGTTCAAACACTGGATTTCTATCCATTAAAAAGTTTAATCGTACTTACATATTAGATGGGGAGAATACTTCAACTTTAAAATAATACATGAATAAATAAGTTCAAAGCTAAAATTACTTAACCTTTCTGAATCTTAGTTGTTTCAAATATAAAATGGCAACAGTTAGAATATCTGCAACTTACGGAGTTGTTGGTAGGGTCAAATAAAGTTAGATATATAGAAGGGAGTTGCAAATTGTAAATTGATGGTCAAATGTTGAATTTCACTTTACATGGTGTACCGCAATTATTTAATAAATACTCAGCATCAGAGTTTGACAACTTTATTCTTCCCAAATACTTACTGGTATAGACAAGTTGAAAGCCTTCATCTGTCCCTTCAGAATCAGAATTAAATTCTAGCCAGAGCTGATTTGAAGTACTACTAAGTGTCAGTCCTCGCATAGAAGCGCCAGTAAAAGCACCTAATAGATGAGTCGTTTTATCTTTTCCATCATAAATCTGCAAAATATATTTATAATTAAAATGTAGATGTGCCAATAATAACCAATTCAGATGATGTATTTATATCTATGAAAAAGAGGAAATTATTATACTCTTCTTAAGTCAGTTTATTACATGTTTCCCAAGGACAAATATACATATATATTAATTCCTACAAATATCAGGTTAAGAGTTACGATTCACATGGGTAATTTTAAAATTACAAGCTAAATAGATTTTAAGTAATACTCGAACTCACGTTATATAACGTTTGCTCTTATTATAAAAACAATGCTTTTTTTATGGCAGGCAATTTAAAATTGAGAATACCTAGAGAAAGACTGGTTTCCAGGGTTGGTTGGCTGATTGTTTTTCTGCAACTTGCTCAAGGGTACCAAACATTTGTTTTTCTAATAACACGATTAATATAAATTACACTTGCTTCTTTTGCAATTTCTATAATTTATCCATGTCCTTTACATTACCTCATTTCTTCATATTTTTTCAATATTGTCAGGAGAGTAAATCCTATTAGAAACTAAACAAAACTATACAAAAACAAAATTGATAAGCTCCCAAACACCTCTCCAACTTTCTTATTCTTCTCAAGGTGCAAATTCTCACTGCACTCTAATTTGCTTTTCTTTTATCAATGCATTATAGACTTCTCTTCAGGTCAGTAGATATGGAGTTTAGCACTACATAGTATTTCACAGTGTGACATTACCAAGACTTGCTGCATCATTCTCATATTAATGAACTTAAGTTGTTTGCCACTAAAAGTAATGCTGAAATAAACAACTTTTACATATAACTTCTCATTTTTTGGTAAGTGCATTTCAGTAAGAGTTTTAAAAATATGGTATTTGTGGGCTAAAATGTTTATGTATTGTCAAATTATTTTTCAAAAAGTGTATAGTAATTAAACTGAAGGTTTCCCAGCAATCCATGTTACCATTCCTTTTCCTTGAAGGTATGCATTTTCAATGTGGCAGTTATTACCCCTAAAGGGATGAAAATTGGTCCCTGAGGGTCACAAAACCTTAGATATTATAATGATTTGTGGTCCTACAAAGATCAACTCTATCTGACAAGTCTTATTCCATATATTTAGTTTCATGGAGTTGGGGCTGGGAGCTCCTTAGGTAAATAATAATAAATAGAAATAATTTAGAAATATTGCTCAAATTTACTTGCCTCTGGACTGAAATTATCTTACTTCTGACCTGACATTAGAGTAAAATTTATACCACTGAACTCCTAATTCAGTGATCTTACCATAATATCAATGTTTCTCAAAAGTGGTACTTACTACAATAATGTCGCCTAAGAGAAGATTTCTAGGTGGTACACATTGGAGTTTTTTTATCATTACATTAATTTGCATGATGTATTTTTCTTGTGCTAGTGTTGGTTTAGGTTGATAACCTATTTAGAATGTTTTCTATAATTTGTAAACAAAAATTCATGTATATTTTTCTTCTTTTTTTAATTTAAATTATCAAGATTTATTGTTAAGTTTAAGTTAATTTAATAAAATGAATTGAAAAATTTTCACCATATTTCTATATGAATTATTCAAATAAACCAATGATCCTTTTCTATCTGCAGATTCAAAGATTTCTTCAACTGAAGGAAACATTTTTGAGTTTTCTTAAATTTTAATTATTCCCTATCTTTTTGATCCATTTTCTACCTAGAATGTCTATTATTTGCATATTCAGTCACCAAAACTGTATTGCAATTCTCTTATCTTTTCTCTTCTGAAATTTGTATCACTTTCCACTATACAAATTGTGGAAATCTTCCACTGGATCTTCCTCACTAATAACTAGATTTTCAGTAGTAATTAATCTCTTTTTATTTAGATCTTATGCTAAAATCATAAATTTTAAAATCATTGGTTAAATCACACACACTCTCTCTTAAGATTTCACTTGTTTAATTTTTTTTTTTTAAATTTAACTTTTAATGCTTCCATAGTTCAAATTTAATGCATATCATCTGTTATTATGTCTTTAACTTGGTCTTTCTTCCCTTTGGTTACTTAATTCCCTTAAATATGTGCTTATTTATCTTTAGCTATTTATAGTTTTATGTTGCCTTATTATTGATACAAGTTTAAGTGCTCTAAAACTAACAAAGATTTTGTTTAACATGCTATACACATGTAGTTTTTGTTCAAGACTTCTACCCATATTGCCCATTACTTTTTTTGCAAAGAAATTCTTAAATTTCCAGTGACCAAGCCCTTCCAGCTCTCTCCCTTTGTGATTAAGGAAATCTACAGTCTCACATGCACCATCCAGACTCCACCTGCTTGCTTACTTGCTGTATTACCACAAAGAGGATGGTGAAAATAAGAGGGAGAGAGAGAGGAAATAAGAGTCTAAAGCTCAAGACAATACGTTTATTGAATTTCTAATAGCAAACGTCTTACTGGTCACTCTTTTTTTTTAAACGTTTTTCGGTCAATTAAAAAAAAATGTCTGTTGACTGTTTAAAGAGTATTGGAGTACTAGATTGAGAGCTGCATGGACAAATTTTCTAAAGTTATACTGGAATAACTTGAACCCCTGGAGGAATCTATTCATCACACAAATAAGTTTCTGTTTTAGATAATAGCAAACATGTATTTGTCTTCAACAAGGGTGAACTAAATATTGAGGTTTGTTAGCTCAGGAATAGTTTTTGTTTGGTTATATAAGATTCAACTCTTCATTTAAGAATACTATTAATCAGGGATAATTCAGAGGCAAGGAAGCATTGCTTATTGTAAAACACAACTTTTGTGACTATGAGTTTCAAATGTTCGATATTCTCACAAGTCTGCTTCTGAATATATTTGTTTTACGACTATGTATGATATAGTTTATAAATCCCATGGTTAGATCTACATATTCACAAGCAAACTACTTAACGAGTAGATCTAGTGGATCTTATTTGTGGTTAATGTTGTCAAGGTAACCCCAAAGAATATTTACCTTTTAATTCCATTACTTCTCAACAACATATAATTTAATTCCTATGATAAATATAAATAAATGTTTATTGGATTCAATTAGTTCCACTTTCATCTGTGGATACATTTTGAGAATGAAAAGTCTGTCAAAAACAGCCAAAAAAGAGAAAATATCAACTAAACAATTATTTTATATAATTTAGTAAGCAGAAATTGGTTGCTGAAATATATTTTTTTAAGTCTCTAGTAATATTGTTTTTTCTCAAATTTTCAGTGGTAATGAAAAAATAGAATTTAATGATATTAGAAACCATTACTTCACTCCATACATATAAGTCATTCCTATACAGAGTACCAAAAAGAGAAGAGAGAGATCAAGGGATTGAGAACCTATTTGAAGAAATAATGATTGAAAATTTCCCTAACCTAGTGAAGGAAACAGCCATACAAGCCCAGGAAGCACAGAGAGTCCCAAACAAGATGATCCCAAACAGGCCACACCAAGACAAATCATAATTAAAATGGCAAAGTTTAAAGACAAGAGAGAATCTTAAAAGCAGCATGAGAAAGGCAGCTTACAAGGGAGCTCCCATACGACTGTCACCTGATTTTTCAACAGAAACTTTCCAAGCTGGAAGGGATTGGCATGAAATATTCAAAGTGATGAAAAGAGAGGACCTATGATAAAAACTACTCTATCCAGTGAGGCTGTCAATTAAAATTGAAAATGAGACGAAGAGCTTCCCAGACAGAGAAAATTAAAGAAATTCATCACGACCAAAGCAGTATTACAAGAAATGTTAAAGGGACTTATTTAAGGAGGAGGGAGATATAAATATAAATAATAAAATGGCAATAACTATATACTTATCAATAATCACTTTAAATGTAAATGGATTAAATGCTCCAATCAAAAGACACAGGATAGCCGAATGGTAAGGAAACAAGACCCATACATACTCTGTCTACAAATGACCTGTTTAGATCAAAAGGCACACACAGACTGAAAGTAAAGGCATGGACAAAAGTATTTTATGCAAATAGAAATTTAGAAAAGCTGAGATAGTAATACTTAGACAAAACAGACTTTAAAACAAAGGCTATAAGAGAAAAGAAAAGCATTGAATAATGATAAAGGGATCAATCCAATAGAGGATTGTAAACATTTATGTACCCATAAAGGAGTATTTAAATATATAAAAAATATATTGACCAGCATAAAGGAACAGGTAAACAATAATATAGTCACAGTAGGGAACTTTCACATCTCATTGACACCAGTGGACTGATCTTCCAGACAGAAAATCAATAAGGAAACAGCTGCCTTACATGACACACTAGATCAGATGAATTTAATTGATATTTTTAGAGCATTTTATCTTAAAGCATCAGAATACACATTCTTCTCAAGTGCACAGGGAACATTTTCCAAGATAAACCACGTTAGGCCACAAAACAAGTCTCAATAAATTTAGGAAGACTGAAATCATGTCAAGTCTATACTCTGATCACAACAGTAAGAAACTAGTAATCAATTATAAGAAAAAACACACAAACAAACAAACAAACCTGAAAAAGACACAAACACATGAAGGCTAAACAACATGCTAATAAACAATAAATGAGTTAACAATGAGATCAAGGAAGAAATCAAAAGATACCCTGAGACAAATAAAAATGAAAACAAAACAACCCAAAATCTATTGGATACAGTGAAAGCAGTCCTAAGAGAGAAATTTATAGCAATATAGGCCTACCTTAAGAAACAAGAAAAATCTCAAATGAACAATTTAACATTACACTTTAAGGAACTAGAATAAAAAAAGCAAACAAAGCCCAAAGTGAGTAGAAGGAAAGAAATAATAAATATCAGAGTGAAAATAAACAATATAGTCTACAAAAACAAACAATACAAAAGATCAATGAAACCAAGAGCTGGTTCTTTGACCAATGAACAAAATTGATAAATATTTAAGCAGACACGTCAAGAAAAAAAGAGATGGAACACAAATAAATAAAATCAGAAATGAAAGAGTAATGACAACTGAATCCACAG